CCTGGTGGCATCTGCCAGCAGAGCCAAGTGCAGGGTGTCCCTTGGACTGGGTGAGTCCCCGGGATGGTGGATCAGCCCCCCGGACACCACAGCCCTGGGATGTTCTGCTGCAGCAGAGAGGATTATACCTTTGCATAACCTGTTCCTGGGGCCACCCTATCTTCCCATCTTCCCATCCCTCCATGTCATGTCCGTCCATCCCTGGACTGGGGACAGCGCGGGGTCTGAACACCCCACACCCGCTGACCCCGCGGTGCCCCTGCAGGTGCCACCATGTTCCTGAATAAGTGCGAGGGCGACCTGGGCGAGCTGCGGAAGCCGGGGGACGGCGAGGGCACCCCGCCAGCCGCCGCCGAGGAGGAGCAGCCCAAGAAGAAGCACCGGCGGAACCGCACCACCTTCACCACGTACCAGCTGCAYGAGCTGGAGCGCGCCTTCGAGAAGTCCCACTACCCCGACGTGTACAGCCGCGAGGAGCTGGCCATGAAGGTCAACCTGCCAGAGGTCCGCGTGCAGGTAGGGAGAGGGAGCGCCCCAGCATCCTGGCTCTGTCCCCAGGCAGTGTCAGAGAGACCCCAAAGYGCTGGAGAGCTCTGCTCTGCTCTCAGCTCTACCTCCCCCTGCGCCTCAGTTTCCCCACTGCTGAGACGGGAGCGGCATCTCTCTGCTGGCAGCAAAGCCAGGGTAAGGGTTTAATGGCTGAGCCTTGCTCCCCCATGGGGTCCCAGCTTGGCCCACGCGGTCCCAGTTGGGCTCACAGGCCAGAAGGCCCCCTTTGGGCACAGAGATGGTTTTTAGAAATTTTTGCCCCTTCTGGTGATGGTTGGTCCCATCCCTCCTGCTGACCACATGAGAAAGAGGCAAAAAAAGCCCCCTGTGTCGTTACTTCCAGGTATTTAGGGCTGGGAAAGCACAAAATTCTCATGGATTTGAGGGTTGAAGTTTGTTGGAGCAGAGCAGATCGGGGGGCAGTGGGACTGGGGAGGTTTCACTCTCTAGGCCACTGCAAAAGGCTCATTGGGGACAGCAGAGCCTGGGAAGAGCCTGGGGTCTCACCAGCCTGCTCCCCACTGAACCTGGACTGATGGGCGAGATCAGGGAGGCACACAGGGTCAGGGAGCTGAAGTGATGAACCCACTGTGAAGCAAAGCATAACCCCCTTACAAATGAACTGAATTCCCACGGCCTCGGCCCCTGTCCAGACAATGCAGACCCCCTTTTTTGGGGGGTCCAGATCATAGAGACACCTCTGCTGAGATCTCTGAGCAACAGCTGGTTTCATAGAATCACGGAATTGTTCAGGTTGGCAAAGCCCTCTGAGACCACCAGGTCCAACTGTTCCCCCAGTACGGCCAAGGCCACCACTAATCCATGTCCCCAAGTGCCATTTCTACATGCCTGCTAAGTCCCTGCAGGAAGGAGGACTCCACCACTGCCCTAGGGAAGAAGTTTCCCCTAATATCCAACCTAACCCTCCCCTGGCACATCCTGAGGCCATTTCCTCTTGTCCTTTCCCTTGCTCCCTGGGAGCAGAGCCTGACCCCCAYCKGCCTTCACCRTCCTGTCAGGGAGTTGTGGAGAGTGAGAAGATCCCYCYYGAGCCTTCTTTYCTCCAAGCTGAGCTTCCCCWGCTTCCTCAGTTGCTCCTCATCCAACTTGTGCTCCAGCCCCTTCCCCAGCTCCATTCCCTTCTCTGGACACAAAGGTTGCAGAAGTGCAGCCCAGCGTCCACCAACAGCCATGATCAGCCAATGGAACCCTCCCCTTCCCCACCCAGCCATTGATCTTTGCTCCCCTCTGCGTCCTGCAGCAGCCCCCTGTGCCCTGTGCTGCTCTGGGGACACGGGGACCAGCACTTTAATGAGCAGCTCCCGTGGGGCCAGACGTCACCGCAGGATTTGGGTCGCCAGTCCCTGTCACTCCTGCTGGGTTTTGGCRCAACTGTGGCTGCTTGACTCATAAAAGCTGTGACTGAGGGTCTGGGAAGGTTGGGTGACACTGCCCCRTGGGCTGCAGAGAGTCTGCAGGGCYAGGGTGCATGTTCCCATGGAGCAGAAGGGGCTGTGTGCTCACACCTCTCACTCTGCACACCTTGGAGAGGTCCTTGGTCTCTGGGGCTYGTGGGAGAGGTGTGGCAGAGGTACTGGGATTGCTGGAGCCCTTGTGGGATGGAATACCCCATAGAGGACACCCCACGTGGGATATTGCAGAATGGGCCCCCCTGCCTGGAGCAGACATGGGGCACCCCATTAGGACACAGCGTGTGGGGCATGCCGTGAGGGTCCGGCTGGGCACGGTGAGCTCACCCTGGCTCTCACCTCACAGGTCTGGTTCCAGAACCGACGAGCCAAGTGGAGGCGTCAGGAGAAGATGGAGGCCAGCTCCATGAAGCTCCACGACACCCCCGTGCTCTCCTTCAACCGSCCCCCCATGACCCCCAACGTGGGGCCCATGAGCAACTCCCTCCCGCTCGACCCTTGGCTGACGTCCCCCATCTCCAGTGCCACCACGGTGCACAGCATCCCCGGCTTCATGGGAGCTCCCCAGGCCCTGCAGCCCCCCTACGCCGGGCACTCCTTCCTCAACACCCCCCCGCCCATGGCGCAGGGCATGCAGCCCATGGCCCCCGCGCCCTACCAGTGCGGCACCCCCTTTGTGGACAAGTATCCGCTGGAGGAGGTGGACCAGAGGAGCTCCAGCATCGCTTCACTGCGCATGAAAGCCAAGGAGCACATTCAGACCATTGACAAGACCTGGCAGCCCATTTGATGAACGCTCCCCTCCGAGCCCCCACTGCCGGCTCTGCCCCGGGGCGGCCGAGGGAGGACAGTGGGTGCTCAGCAGGACCAAAGCTGGGACTGGGCAGGGATGCCGGCCTGTGTCCTCCCCACACTGAGCCAGCACTGGCAGTGTCAGGAGAGTGAACTGGTGCGCTGGTGGAACCCCACTGCTGTGGGGTGCACCCCAGGAGAGCCCCTTTGCCTCTGAGGTACCGACATCAGCCGAGGACACGGCTGAGGCTCAGGCATCCCACTGTGCCACCGGGCCACCCGCCACGCCCTGCTCGGACACCTCCTTTCCCCACATCCCCTACCCTTCCCATTATTCGTAATTTTTTTTAATGCTGCAGATTTAAACAAAACTGAACAGAAACCTCTAGTTTCGTAGGGAGTACTTGGGGGGATGTTTTAGCCGCCCCGATGTCGGGGCACGCCGCCGGTGGTGCCGGGAGATGAGCACGGGTGTATTGTGAGTAAAGAGATAAGCTGGACGGCTGCTGCATGCTGGAGTCGGGCGCTGCCGGGGCTTCGGTCGCGCCGTGCCGTGCCGTGCCGTGCCGTGCCGTGCCGCGCCCTCCTTAGCGCTGCGGGGCCGCCAAGCCTCTGCCGGGAAGGAGTTTTGCTTTCCGGAGGCAGAGGAGCGTCATCCCTGCGCTGCCCCCTGCCCTGATCCCTCGGGGCGCTGAGTGCAGGGCTGGGCCAGGTCCAGCCACAGGTGACCCTCCCCAGCCAGCTGGGACTGGCTTGTGCTGCACASCTTGTCACAGGTCACCTGCTCGACTGTCCCTGGGGGCTGTGCCCGCTGCCCCCCGCCCGAACACTCCCAGAGGTGCCAGAATTGTGCAGGAGGAAGGGTGGCAGTGGGACCCCTGTGACCCCTGGCCAGGGCTGGTGAGAGGAGGGGGCCAGCTGCGAGCCCTGGGGGCACCCCAACACCCGGCTTACCCTCTGCCAGTGCTTCCTGCCAGGTGGGAGCTGGGTGGTGGCGACAAGGTGCCGTGTCCTCAGGGGTCCCCAGCGTGGCTTTGCAGCTCCCTGTCTGCCCAGGCACCGGAGCTCAGGGCACAGGCACGGTCACCGACACCCTCACTGACGGCAAGGGACAGCACGGGCCCAGCAGACGGCGGAGCTCACAGTCGTGTGTGGGCTTGGAGGAGCTTAAGCTCAGCTGGGACAGCAAGACAGGGGGACTCATCCCTGGGAGAGCGGGTGCCCGGGTCCCTGGGATGCCCTGAGGTGTCCTGGATTCCTGGGGTGCCCAGCCCCTGGGGGAGCCACACGAGGGACAACCTTCCGCACATCAAAACAAGATGTTTCCCCAGAAAATCTTCCCACTTCGGACCTGACAACAGCCCCCAGCCGGGGCCGTGCTGGGGCAGCCCCATCCCCGCCGCGTCCCCCCATCCCAGASCCCGCTCGGTGCCAGCGCCCCGCCCGCACCCCCTACCCCCCRGCCGGGGGTCTCACCACGATCCAAACCCCCCGGGGCCGGACTCTGACGTCCCCAGAGCCCCGAGGTCGGGCGGGTCTGGCCGGGATGCCAGCGGGCCAGGCGAGGCACTGACCCCGGCGAGACCCTTCTCCTTGTGCCCCGTTCCCCGGCTGCTGCTGCTCGTCTGTTTCGTTAGCGACAATTAAACCTTTAACAACCCATTAAACGCATAATCGATGCTCCCCGGCTCTCCGGCCCAGCTAATGGGGTGAAGCGCCCCGGCCGAGGCGAGCTCCGGCCGGCAAATAATGAAGCAACGGCTGCGGAAGTAATGGGGTTTGATCCGGGGGACGGGACGCGCTCAATGGGGGCTGCGCTTTTCACATGACATAATTGCCGAGGCTGGCGCCAGCCCGGGGCACCCCTCGGCCTCCCGAGCGCCAACAAAGGCCGGCTGGCGCGGGGAGAGGCAGCGCCGCACCCCCGGCTCGTTTGATCGGAGCCTAATTGGGGCGAGGGTGCTCCCCCAGSCCGGCCCCGCAACCGCCGCCCGGCAGCGCGGAGGGGCCCCGCCACCAGGATGCGTCTCTCCGGCTCCGTGGGGCTGGGGGATTGTTTGAGTTATGGAAATGAGATGTTTTCCATGGGCTTGCACGGGGAATGTCAGAGTACCCTCACTTGGTGTCCTCCTTCCCTGCCCTGGGTGCTGTGCTACACCTCCTGCAGAAACAGGCAATATTTCTGCAGGAATCTCCCCAAAAATGCCATTGGAACACAGGGAAGGCACAGAAGTGCCGAGCCGCCTGCCCGGCCCACTTTATTGGTGGATTCCCATGGGAGCCTGCCCAACATGCGGGGGTTTGTATGGGAAAAATCCAAGCAAAAACGCATTTTTGCCCCCTTGGATCCCAATCCTGTCCTGAAATCACTCACTGCCCAGATGGGGCCGGTTCCTGGGGTGCTACTGGGAGGACTGGGTGCTACTGCAAGCACTGGGGGCATCAGCGGGTGCTCCCAGCCCCTCGCAGCCCAACAGGAGCCCTMCCGCTCCCACCCCCTCTAATCTCCTCCCGCGGGATTTGCCCCCTAAGCTGCTTATTTCTCTCTATTTCTCCCAGGCCTGAAGGAACCCAGCCCTGCCCCGGCACGACGCCTCGAGCCCGCTGAGCCATGGGCTCTGGGCACTCTGCCCCTGGCACTGCCTGGCAGTGGCCCAGCAGTGGCCTGACATGTGCGGCTGGCACTGCCCAGGGACGTGGGGGTGGCACTGCCCAGGGACGTGGGGGTGGCACTGCCCAGGGACGTGGGGCTGGCACTGCCCAGGGATGTGGGGGTGGCACTGCCCAGGGACGTGGGGCTGGCACTGCCCAGGGATGTGGGGCTGGCACTGCCCAGGGACAGGTGGGGGTGGCATTGCCGTGCCCAGGGACATGGCGGTTACACTGCTATGCCCAGGGACACGGGGGTGGCATTGCTGTGCCAAGGGATGCAAGGATAGCACTGTCCAGGGACATGGGGATGGCACTGCTATACCCAGGGACGTGGAGGTGGCATTGCCATGCCAAGGGATGTGGGGCTGGCACTGCTCAGGTGCATGGTGGTGGCATTGCCACACCAAGGGACATGGGGCTGGGGCCAACAGTACCAGTCGTGCTGTGCTGTGAGACCAGCATCCCTTGGCACAGGCCAGGATGGGGCTCAGTCCCTCCTGCCTCTGTCCTCTGGCSCCCAGGACAGATGTGGCCCCAGGGGACAGTGATGACAGAGGGGCCACACTGTCCCCCTACAGTGTATGGGAGCTGGGCCCCTCGGGGCTCAGGTTCTCCTCGGGGGTGTTGACCCATGAGCTCCCTGAGGCCCCCCAGCTCCCCGGGGGCGAGGAGGAGAGGGGGCTGTGGGGCGGTGAGGAGGGCACTGCCCGCTGCAGGTTGAGCTTGGCAATGAGTGGCCGCCCCACGTTCACCTGCTGCCGCTCCTCCACGAAGTCATCCATCCCCCTGTAGCGGTACTGCAGGCACACGGTGAAGGCCAGCTCCTGCTGCAGGGGACACCAGCGCTGTGGGCTGCTGCCCTGGCATGGCCACGGTCACGCTGTGCCCCCAACACCATCCCCTGCCCACCACGGCTCTTACCCRCAGCTTCTGCAAGCCACAGATGCGGCTGTAGAGGCAATAGGAGGGGCAATCGAGGCTCCAGACGGGTGCCAGTGGGCTGCCCACTTCCTCTGGGCTCTCCTTGTTGGTGCACTTGAGGTCCACGTCCAGCTCCTGCCACAGACAGCGTTCACATGGAAACCAGCAGAGTTTCCCCCCCATTCCCCAGCACCGCCCCAGTGGGGGCTCCRGCAGCAGCTCCCACCTCAGGAATGTCAGTGAGCCTGGCCTCACACTTGGTGACATCCTCGGGGGCGGCCACCACGCGTGTGTAGATGATCATGATGTTGGAGAACTCGGCAGCAAAGCCCAGCTGGACGGTGACACCGCAGTTGAAGTGGATGTGGCGACTCTCTGGCAGGACTGGRGAGGGGACAGGGAGCACAGGGCTGAGACCTGCCAGGCTCAGGGCTGGAGCTGTGCCCATGGGTGAGGAGGGTCACCTCAGAGCAGGGGTGCCAACACTGTGCTCCCGTCTCCAGGCTGGTGGCTCTGTGCTGGCAGTTTCTCCTCCAAGTGGGAGGAACCCAGCAGATGCTGGCCGCATCCCGTCACTGCTCTTTGAGCTGTCCCTCCTCTAGATKCCAGCCTGGGACCGCTTGGCCGTGACTCACCGTGAGCCTTGGCCCACTGCAGGTTCCTGGCAGAGGACTCGTCCCGGCCCGGGGGGCGGATAGGGTCGGTCAGAGCTCGTCGCTCCGAGAGGTTGCTGCGGAGCTCCAGCGCCTGCCGGCCCCGYGTGATCTCCAGAGTGCCCATGTCTGTGGGGTCACAGGTGTCGGGAGGGGCCACCACAGGGTCACTGTTCCCCACTGCTCCTCACTCACCCTCGGCCACTTTGTCCAGCAGCACCGTGATCTTCTCATCCTCCAGCAGCCAGCGCTTMAGGAAGGTGACGAAGATGCCATTGGAGAGCTCGCCCTGGCTCAGCTCGTAGGCTTCGGCATCTGCACACCTGCGGGGACAGAGCCACGGTGGGATCTGCCATGGGCTCTGGCACTCCCTGGGACTCTGCCCMCAACGGGATGACAGCCCAAAGGAARCCAGAGYTGGRTGCCCAGTGCTCTTCCTGTTCCCACCACACCATCTGGCCACCGTGCTGGGGCAGGTGAGCACATGGCCGATCCTGGATGCTTACAGCATCACCAGCCCCAAGCCCCCTGCTCTGGAGAAGTCCTGGGGCTTCACACCCTCAGCTGCTGCTCAGAGCCGAGCAGTGCCATGGGCACATCCCTGCCCTGAGAGGGACGGGGGGGCTGCTGCTCGCCCACCCCCTCCAGCATCCAGGGGGGAGGGGTGCAGGCATGGGAGGCTGAGGCCGTGTCCCACCCTGAGCCAGGCAGGGACACTCAGCCCCACTGCCTGTGCCAGGGGGCASTGGGAGGGGACCCACGTGGCGTAGCCAAAGACGATGTTGGCCGTGACCTCCAGCGCCCCGACCTGCGGGATGACGTCGTCATTGAGGTTCCTGCTCAAGAGAAGAGAAGCTGGACAGAATGAAAACAGGTCCTCCCCCAAAACCCACCCCAAAGCACACCAGACACTGAGGGCTGCTCTGTGCCCCTCTGCCCACCCATTACAGCATTTGCCAGCTCACAGGGGCACTGAAGCTTTGGGGCATTTAGACAAAGACAGTGGGTTTAGATGGGACCCTGAGGGTGCCCCGCTACCCTCCCCTGGGAGCCACCGCCCACAGGTCCCTGTGCTGAGCCCTCCCAGGCGGCAGCTGGCCCTGGCTGGGTGACAGGGCTGGGTGACAGGGCTGGGTGACAGGGCTGGGTGACAGGGCTGGGTGACGGGGACAGGTCACCTCTTGCGGCACATGTCGAGCAGGAAGATATTGAGGCCGGTGCGGCGCTGCTGCATCTCCCGCAGCACTCGCTGCACACACAGGCAATGCTCCGATGTGTAGGCGCTGGGCGCGTCAGTGGGCACCATGAAGCTGTTGCCAAAATTTTCATAGCCGTGCCCAGCATAGTAGAGCAAACCTGCCGGGGGAACAGAGGGCGGGTGGCATGGTGACATCCCCTGACCTGCCAGCACCTGCYTCTTGCCGGTTTGCACCCCAAGACTCCACCAGCACAAAACCACCCAGTTCCCCCAGGGCTGGAGTCACCCTGGTGGGTGCTGTCACACCGTAGACGCCCTTGTCGAGGAGGAGGAGGAACTCATCCACGGCCATCTGCATCTCGGCCTTGCGCAGGTCCAGCAGCGACACCACCTTGAAGTCGAGCTGGCGCAGGAGGGCACCGAGGGCATGGACATCCACCATGGGTGCCTGCAGCTGCTTGTGGTGCAGGTAGTGCATGTTGCCGATCAGCAGCGCCACTTTGTCYGTGGCTGCAAGGACGGGACAGGACAGGGAGGTGCTGTTATGGACTGGGACACTCCTGCTCTCCATGCTACCCCCAGCCCATGGAGGTGACACCCAGCTCTGGCCAGCATCACTGTCCAGGGTACTACTGAGGGACTCTGAAGCATCCCTGCCCTGCTGATCCCTGAACCCCCGGGTTACGCTTAAGGGTTAGGGGATTGGGGATTTGGATTGAGGGTTAGGGTTGGGGTGTTAATCTGCTCTCCTAATTCAGGCAGGGGTGGGAGGCTGTTTCACTCTCCCAGTGTGCTGCACGCAAAGCACTCCTGGCCAAGTAAAGCCTCACAGGGTGMCAGTGGTGACATTGGTGACAGTGGGAGCCCTCCAGGGCCAGCAATGCCTCCTGGGCAGGCTCTTACCATACAGCTGTCCAGGGCTGYCGTGCTCTAGCGAGCCTGGGAAGAGAGAAATGTTGTGCCATGGCCCTGCAGTGCCAGGGGAGCACAGCAGGCAGAGCAGTACAGACCAGYCTGCTCTGCCCCTACATACCTCCATCCCACTCCTGCCAGGAGCCTCCAGAGGTGAAGAGCCGTGGGCCTGGGGCAGAGGGGAGGTCARGAACCCCATGCATGGCAGCACCTCCCAGCAGGGGATGCAGTACCCCCAAAACTGTGGAGCAGCTTTACTGGGAATAGAGCAGCTGGAGGGGTCAGGAGCTTTGTCTGGGGCCCTCACCGATCTCCACATCCACYTCCTGGCTCCACACCTCATGGAAGAGGTTGAACACACGGCAGGAGTAGCTGCCCCGCTCGGCTGTYGTCACCAGCTTCACCTGCCAGCGGGACAGAGCAGGAGGCTGGGGCAGTGTGCCAGACCATGCAGTGCTTTGCCACACTCACTGTGCCGTGCCGTGCCATGCCATGCTGTCCCGTGCCAGGCGGTCCCTCTATACCTGGAGCTGGGGTGCCTGTGCTCCTTCCACAGGGCGCCGGTTCCTGAACCACTGGTACTGGGGCGGGGGGTTGCCRATGGCTCTGCACTCCAGCAGCAGCGTGTCCCCCTCGGCCAGGCGGCACTGCCGCGGCTGCCGCACGATCTGCAGCCCCGCCATGCTGGGGCAGTAGCCACTGGCTGGGGAAGGGACAGGGGGCAAATCAGGCACCCAGCCATGGCAGCACTCTGCAGAGCTGCTCCAGGCCCCAGGTCCCTCACCCCCRGGCCCTGGCACCCATGGGTGCCATGAGACAGCAGACATGAGGAGGACACAGAGCATGTGGCTCCTCTGTGGGCACCAGAAACCTTTGCTGCTGAGCCGGGGCATTATGTGGCAAATGATGCCACTCAGGACCGCCCCTGTCCTGATGGGACGAGAGGTGCCTGCAGGAGATGTCCTAATACCAGCAGGGCAAGTTGTGCCCCATGGCTACCAGCCCAGGGACAGACCTTGAGACCCACCTGAGCTGGGGCTGCTGTTCTTCTCCACCTGGACATGAGCCCACCTGGAGAAGGTGAAGGTGGCCCCGCAGTTCACCCTGCAGATGTACCACTCGGGCTGGCCCGGGGGGGCAGCCACGTTGATCACCAGCTCCGGGGATGTGGCTCCAGGCACCTAYGAGACAGGAGGTGGCCAAGGAGTCGTGGCTCCCTCTTGCCCTCGCCATGGACAGGGTGCAGGGGCCCTGCTCAGTGTGGGGACCTCACCTCCCGCCTCCCGCAGAACCACTGGTACACGAGCCCAGGCGGGCCGGTCGCACAGCAAGTCAGGGACACTTGTGTCCCCTCTGCCACCACCTGTGACTCCGGCTGCACCGTGATGCAGATCATGTCCTGGACTGCAGGAGAGGAGAGGAGAGATCTGGGCTGGCTGAATCCCCTGTCCCAGACCACCCCATCCCACCCAGAGCCATCCTACCCTGTCCCACCACAACAGATTCTCCTCTCCCAGCCCAGCCCATCTTATCACATCCCACACCTCTGTCCTGTCCCATTGGCACATTCAGTGCTATCCCATCTACCCCTCTCATYTTGTTCCAGTCTGTCCCATCCCATGTTTCCCAAATGTGTCCCRTCCCATCCCTTCAGACCACATTCCATCCTATCTCACCCTGTTGTATCCATCCAACTCTACCCTTCCTGCCCAGCACCTCGCTGGTCCAGACCCCCAATAGGAAATGCTGCGGTTCACCGTCCCCCCCATTTCCTCCTGCTGTGCCCCGGTGCCCCCTGCGGTGCCCGGTTCCCGTCCRTACCGGCAGAGCTGAGCACCCGGCAGGCCTGTTCGTGCCCCATGCGCTCCAGGCAGCCCAGCAGGTACCGGAGGGTGCAGTCGCGCTCGGCCAGCAGCTGCAGCAGGCACTGCGTGGGGCTGCCGCGGGGCTCCAGCACCTTCAGAGAGCACATCTCCAGCTCCTCGGCGCTGCGAGRGCCCGCAGCCGTCAGAGCCCTCCTGTCCCTCGGGGGGGACAGGAGCCCTGCCAGGAGCCTGGGTGGTGCCCCGGGCCGGGCAGTGCCCGTGCGCCCCTCGCTCGGGCCGGGCAGGGCTGTGCCCATGTCCCTTTGTGAGCCGGTCGGGGGCGGCTCCGGCAGCGCTCCCCCAGCCCTACCTGCACTTGAAGCGTTTCTCGGCCCCGGCCAGCTCCGCCAGCTTGCGCCAGCCCCGGTTGGCGTTATCCAGCAGCTCACACAGCCGGGACAGCACCTCCCCGCCCAACGAGCCGATGGGCATGCTCCAGTCCCCCATCCCTCCTGCGGGTGCCGAGGAGATGAGGGGTCAGTGGGTCACCAGACCCCTCTGGGTGGCTCTGGGGGCACAGCAATGAGATCTCTGCTGTCAGAACACCTCCCAGTAGGAGACTGAGGAGGTGCTGCGATCTGGCTGGGCAGCGCTGCTGGATCTGGCCACCGGCAGCCAGCCAGGAATGCCACACACTGGCACTCTGTGAGCCGTGACAGTGACACGGGGCACCCTGTTCACCCCCCAGCCTTGGGCAAGGAGCCAGGGCACTTCAGCCCAACCCCAGGAAAGGGACCTTCATGGAATGGGGGTCCACAGAACTAGAAAGAGGGGATAGCCCCCATCACTCTTCCTGTCCTGTCAGGTGACACAGAGAATTGGGGCCCCAGTACCCCTCTCCTGGCAGCAGACCCASTGGGGCAGCAGCAGAGTCCTTGCTACCACCAGGCCTCTGTGTGGTGGCTCTGGAGGGGRGCCTACAGAGGGGTCAGCAGAGGGTACATGGGGGTCCTGGGGTGGGGCACAGCTCAGCTTGCCCTGAATTCTGGGAAAGGTTTTGGTGTGACATGAACCACCTGGACAAGGGCAGCACCCAGGGACCAGCTCCCTCCTCCTCCCCTCAGGTTCTTTCCCAACCACCCACCCCAGAAGGGCCCGTGTGCCCAGAACTGAGGGTCACCCATAGCAGCTGGGTGACTCTCACCCAAGCAGGGGGTTCCAAGACAGAGCATAAGGACCCGGGTGCTCCCTCTGCTCACCTGCTGCTGGATATGGGCTCTGGACACGCTGGGATGGCGAGGGGAGGGTAAGCTGCAGAACGGGCCCGGCGGGGATGGGCACTCACCACGCGCTACGGCCGAGCCCCGTCAGCCCCGAGGGTGCGCACTGAGCCCCACGCAGAGGAAATGAGGGCTCAGCCCAAAATCTGCAGCACAGCACTTCTGCTTCCCTCCACCTTCCTTCCTGTTATGCAGGYGTGGGCGTGGAGCTGCCACCCCCCAGCCCACGGGGCACATGGGGACACTGCCGGGCCTGGCTGGGTTCCACTGCCCCTTCCTCACTGCAGGGACCTCATGGGTGCCTCTTGTCCCCAGAGCCCACCTCGAGCCCAGAAGGAGCCTCGGGGCAGCCAGGCCAGGGTGGCGGTGAACTGAAGTGACAGAGGCACCTTTCAGCCAGGTGTGCCCAACACGTGGGCAGAACCAAGGCCAGTGCTGGGCTCTGCCAGGCTGAAGCTGGCCAAGGAGAAACAGGAATGGGGCAGTGAGGCCCCTGTTGCTGTGAGGAAGACCCTGCCTTCACCACCCAGCCAAGCCCTGGCACACACCACCACTGCTCCTGCTGCTGGGGAAGGAGAGCATGACATCGGGGTGGCATAACTGCCCCCAACCTTGCCAACTGTACCACAGCACTGCCAGAGCCTGGCCCCATCCTTCCACCCCCCAGGAGCACAGGCTGCTCAGGCCCCAAGACCCCCCGGCCAGGGACACAGTGGGGGCACATTCCCATAGAGCCTTCAGCCCCCGCTGCTGTGGCACAGAGCAGGGAGCAGCACCTGTGTGCAGTGTGGGATCCTCTACAACACAAAACCTGAGCTCCTGTCCCAGCAACACATGCAACCTGTGGCCTGTGTTGCCTCAGCTCTTGGCACGGAGCRCCAAGCTTGCAAAGAGTCTGGGTTTGTCACAGCCTTTTTTTTAACAGGTATCAGCCTCACCAGGGATTTATTTCTTATTTACAGCAAGAAAAAGAAACAAAAAGTCAGGGTGGGTCCCAGTGCCCCCTGTGCTGGCACATGGGGCAGCCCCAAGCTCRGCAGCACCTACAGCTTCTTGCCCTTCTTCAACTTGTTGCGCTGCCATGTGTTGTATTTCCGCAGGCGTCTCCAGTACTCGAGCGAGTCGGAGTCCAGCTCCTCCAGCTTCCTGGGGGGCCCGAGGTGGATTTTAAAGAGCCTGGGGGTAAATGCAGAGGATGTGAGGCTGTGGAAAGCAGGGTGAAGAGACAAGCATGGGATGGAGCAATGGATATGAGTGACAAGGATGTGCAGATCCCTCACCCCCACATCAACAGTGCACCCACTCCTCTCTCCTGACCCTGGGGAAGGTGTCTGGGTTACAGAGGGACAGCTGCCTCCTCCCAGAGCACTTCCCTGTCCCTCTTCACAACTCTGTGCACTCGGGATGGCACCTCTGTCGGGACACAGAGGGGATGGRGCAGCACCCACCAGTCGGGGTACTCGGAGTCGGGTTTCAGGGCAACCTCCGGACCCTCCTTGAAGTAGTTGACTCCCATGGCGTGGGTGGCGAGCATGGTGGGGTCCGTGCACACCTCGGGCCCCTTCAACGCCTCCTTCGGCACACCCTTGCCCTTCGCCTTGGTGGCTGTGGGGACAAGGGCAGGGTCAGGGCGGGGCATGTACCCAGGGACAAGGACACAGACGGGGAAGGGACGGGGACCCGGAGGCAAGGGCATCGTGGGGCGGGAACGGGGCCGGGGGTGGGAGCGGGGCCGAGGCCGGGGGTGGGAGCGGGGAGCACGGCGAATAAAGCTGGGGCGACGGCATCACCGGGACGGGCTCGGGGCCGGGTACCGGGACACGGGGGGACACGGAGGGACACGGGGCAGGGAGCGCGGGCAGGGCAGGACCGGGGTCGAGGAGCGCGGGGCCGGGGCACAGAGGGACGCGGGGCCGCAGAGCGGGGTCGGTGGCCGTGCGGGTCTCACCGGGTTTCTTGGCGTAGCCGCGGGCCGAGGCCCGGAGGACATCACCCGCCGCCCTCAGCAGCCCCCGGGCGGCCATGGGAGCGGGGCACGGCGGGAGCGGGGCGGGGCTGCGCCTGCGCGGGGCCAACGGAAGCGGCGGCGGGACCGTCCCGTCCCGTCCCGTCCCGTCCCGTCCCGGGCCGGTGGCGCCCGCAGCGACAGAGTCCGCCCGGCCCGGGCCGCCCCCACCCCCGCCCCCATGGACAGCGGCACCACCATGGACTTCCAGGTGGCCGCGCTCCCCGCCACCGGCGGCGGCAGCGATGAGGCCGCGGAGCCGCCGTCTATGGACACGGAGGACGGGCCGGACGTCCCCGGGSGCCGTGCGGGGGATGAGCGGCCGGAGGAGCCCTCCCGCACAGCCCCGCAGCCCGGCAGCGATCCCGGGCCGGAGGGGCCAGGGCCCGGCTCGGGGCTCACCGCAGCCGCGGAGCTCTCGAGAGGCGCAGGACGGACCGAGCTGTGCCGGGGCTCGGGGCGGGCGATGGAGGCGGAGGCGGTGCGGTCGGAGCCGCAGGGCTCTGCCCGCTGGGAGCCCAGCGCTGGGAGCGCCTCTCGGGCCACAGCGCATCCCCGGAGCCCCGGCGGCCTCTACCCCGCGGGMATGGAGCTGGATGAGACCCCCGAGCCCAGCGCCCGCCCGGGCGGGGCCGAGTGGGTKGAGGATGCGGAGGACGAGCCCTCGGAGATCCAGGGGCTGCTAGCCCAGCTCGAGACCCTCGACCCCAAGCTCCGCGACCGCCCGTCCGGCCCGGAGCAGGRCGCGCCGTCCCCGGCGGGTGCCGGTGTTCGGGGCCGCGGGCAGTGCCCAGGCAGGTGCCGGCCGTGCCCGCTGCATGTGGCCACGGGCCGGGGCCTGGCGACGCGTCCGTGCTGCCCCCAGCACCCTGCCTGCGCCCGGCCCTGCCACGGGCTGCTCTTTGCTGAGGTCGACCGGGAGGACCTGCTCAGCCTCCTGTGCTACGAGGGGGGACTGCCCGAGGCCAGCACCGAGACCCCCTTRGCCTGCTCTGATGTCCTGGCTGGCACCAACCTGGAGATGCTGCAGGCTCAGGAGGAACCAGCCACTGTGGAGAAGCCTGAAGGGCTGGGGAGGCCAGAGAGCTCGGAGGAAGTATATTCTGGCAGCTGGTGTTACGGASAGGGGCTTTGCGAGGACGATTCTGCCTGCGAGGGCGCTCGGGAAGGTTCCCCGGAGCTGGTGTGGCCAGCCCTGCCTCCCTCTTCGGCACCCGGGGCAGAGCAGCCGCCTCAGGGTGTTGTGACCGTGAGTGCATCGTGCCTTGGGCTGCAATGGGGCAGCAAGAGCCAGGATGTGCTCCTGCGCTCTGCTCCCTCCTGGGCTCTGGGATGGAGGCAAAGGGGAGCCAGGGGTGACTTTCCTCAGGTCTTACAGGTCTTTCCTCACGCTGTGAGAATGCCAAGACAAGACCCCCTGGTACCAGCTTTGGCTGCTACTGCTCTCAATGCATGCTTGCATGGCTGGCTGATTCAAGTGTGCCATGGGGCAGAGGCTGGTGGGTCCAAACAGCCCCTCTGATGCTGGGATCCTGTGTCATCCTCCTCTCCTGCCCCAGGACCTTGCGCTGTCTCCACTACAAGCCAAGGACCCTCCTTTTCCCTGCTCAGCCCTGGGATCCTGTGCCATTTCCCCCATCCCTGTGCCCTGCCCTTGCTTTCCCACTGCTCCAGGGCCAGGCAGGCTGAATCCCTGAGGTCTCAGCCACAGCCTCACTTGCTTTCTCATTGCTTTACAGAATAAGGAACCCCCATCATCCTGCCCAGCCTTCAAGGAGGGTGAGTTGCTTCTGTTTTCAAGTAGCAAAAGCCTCCAGGAGTCCCTACCCACCTGCTTGGAATGGTGGCGGTCAGGGGTCCCAGTCGGGGAGGGGRCAGCCAGCTCTGCATCTATCCAGAGTGGGAATGTGGCTGCAGGTTCCAGGTGGCTTGACCCTTTGCTGAGGAAATTGAGGTGCTTCAGGGATCAGGGAGGGGGGCACTTGAGAGAAAGGGATATCAGGTGAAGGGAAGGGGGGAGCAGCTGTGGGTATGCCAGGTGCCCGTGTCCCAAGCACTGAGCTGCTTCATGATGTGTAGGAATACAGCTAACGGGCAGCAGGAGTTAAAACTAAACCCAGTTTTAGGGGTAGGGGAGCAGTCCCTGCTSAGTCCCTTCCAATGTCTCAGTTCCAGGCCCTTGTGACCCAGCGGACCTGCTGGATGGTGTGATTTTTGGAGCCAAGTACCTGGGCTCCACGCAGCTGGCCTCAGAGAGGAACCCCCCGACCAGCGTCCGCATGGCACAAGCCCAGGAGGCCGTGGACAGGATCAAGGTGCAGGATGGATGGGGACCATGGCTCTGGGTGTGGGGCAGCGCTCGGGATCTGCCTGGGGGCACCTGGTTGTGGGGCTGGGTGCCAGTGGCATCCTGTGACCTCTCCATTGTTGTGCAGGCACCCGAGGGGGAGTCCCAGCCCATGACGGAGGTGGATCTGTTTGTCTCCACACAGAGGATCAAGGTGCTCACGGCTGACACGCAGGTGAGCAGCAACAGCAGCACTCACGTGGCTCTGGGGCTGCTGCATCGTTCCTGTTTGGTCTCAGGATCTCAGCTTTGCTCCCACACCAGCAGGGCYGTGCCCAGGTACGACCTGCAGATGAGGACACACGTCTGGGAGGGGACGTGTCACTGTAGCTATTCTGTGTTGTGTCCTTGTCTCTCTGTGTGGCTGCACAAGGTTTCCCTTGCAACCTGCGCCCTGTAGACCAGCTGGCATCCCAGACCAAGCTCTGGGGAACCCAGGTTTCAAATATGRGAGCTCCTTGCCTCAGGATTAGTTTCTGCACTGTACTAAGAGGGAAGAGCTGTCCTGTCCCCCAGCAGCACCCAAGGACACAGATGAGTCCCTGATGAAGGATCTGTTTGTGCCTTTTGGCATGGTCATGTTTTCTGCCCAGCACGTGCCACATCCCAGCGCTGTGGCCAGACCCTTCCTGCTTGCAGTGCTAGCGGGCTCCTGGCTGTCCTCACAGTCTGATGGCCCAGAGGGGGCTGAGCTCTCTGTRACCCTGTGTCTCCCTTGGCAGGAGGCCATGATGGATCACTCCCTGCAGACCATCTCCTACATCGCYGACATCGGCTCCCTCRTGGTGCTCATGGCGCGCCGGAAGCTGCCACGGCGCTCGGAGGTGGCGGAGGAGAAGCGGCTCTACAAGATGATCTGCCACGTCTTCCACTCAGCTGATGTGAGGCGACACATGGGGCCCTGGGGTGGGAGAATGGCCCTGGGGACCTGAGCCCCATCCCACTGTAATAACTGGATGTTCTAGGCTGGGGCTGCAGCAGACACCCCTTCCCTTCCCACATGGGAGAGGGCAGGAGCCCCGCCTGAGCACCTCTGTGATACACAGCAGCCCAGCAAGCAAAGTGGGGGTGAGGGTTGGCTCCGTGCAGGGAAAGGAGTCAGGATGCCCCAGAGCTCCCAGGGCTTGTTCCTGTGCTGGGCACTGCAGGGCACTGGGAGCTGTTGGCTCCAGCTCTGAGCCATGGTAGGAACAGCCCCTATCCTTCCCCAGGCCCAGGTCATCGCCCAGGCCATYGGGCAGGCGTTTGGTGTGGCTTACCAGCGCTTCCTGGAGGCCAACAGCATCGACCCCAGTGAGCTGAGCCCGCGCCAGTACAGCCGTGCCCTCGAGGACCAGGAGCAGTACAACGCAGAGCTGACCCACTTCTCCCGACAGGAGAACTGCAAGGACGTAAGAGCTGCTYTGGGGGGTGGGGACAACGTGGGGAACCCACTGGCACCTCTGTGTCACCCACTTCATGGCTCCCTGAGCAGCTGAGGTGCTCTCTGCAAAACCAGGTCCCACTGCAGCCAGCTCTGAGTGCAGCTGTGGGCTGGGACATGTGCTCCACGACTCTGGTGGAGATTATGACCATAACCCACGCTCCCTTCCGCCAGGTCTGCATCCGGAAGCAGAAGGGGGAGATCCTGGGCATTGCCATTGTGGAGTCGGGCTGGGGCTCCATCCTGCCCACTGTGGTCATCGCCAACCTGATGCACGGGGGCCCTGCAGAGCGATCAGGCGAGCTGAGCATCGGGGATCGCCTCATGTCAGTCAATGGGACCAGCCTGGTGGGTCTGCCCCTGGGCACCTGCCAGAGCATCATCCGGGTGAGCCGGGGCAGGGTGACCTCCTGCCTCACCCAAGGAAAGAGATGGGGAGGGTCTGTGATGCCAGGATTGCCCCAGGGCCCCCAGCTGTGCAGGGGCCATACCTGTCCTGCAGGCTGTGGCAGTTCCTGCTCAAAGTGCTTGGGAGCAAGGCAGGGACAAAGCTGGGGACTGCACTTGATGTGGCCCTGCTTGAGGAGGAGGGTGGAGGAGGCAGGCAYCTGTCCTGAAGGGAACCTGTTGCATCATCTGCCTCTCCTCAGGAAGGAACTGAAAGCAAGGACAGCATGGCCTCAGGGACAGGGCTGGGTTTATAAGTTCTTGTCCCTGGATTTGTATTTGTGGTATCCCTTTGTGTATCTCAGTTTCCCCATTAAAAACAGATAGTTAATTCTCAGTGCTCACATGAGCAACATGGCTCCATCGCCCCTCAGCCAGTCCAGATAGGTCACCAAAATCTGACTGAGCCCYCTCCGACCTTCCAGGAGCTGAAGCACCAGACTGAGGTGACACTGAACATTGTGCACTGTCCCCCCGTCACCACGGCTGTCATCCGCCGCCCCGACTCCAAGTACCAGCTGGGCTTCTGCATTGAAAATGGTGTGGTGAGTGCCTGTGGGATGGAAGGGGTCTGCCTGAGGGACCAGCAGTGTCCAGGGACCAGTGCCCAGCTCCATGTGCTTGCCCAGGCCCAGGGGTCCCAGGGCTCTGCTGTGCACAGCAAAAGGCTCCTCCCTGCCCTTCTGCAGTGCCAGTGGTTGTATACCGCTCCCTGGTGCTCTGTAGCTGTTTGCTTTTGGCGTGGTGGCTTCTTCCTGGCTTTCTGGCCATTGTCCTCAGTGCTTCAGCCACTCCCTGCTCTTGGGTAGGCACAGAAGGGCATTCCTGGGCTCAGTGGGAGCTGGGTGGGTGAGTGGCACGACCACCTCACACAATGGCTGGAGGTCCCCTGGGACTGGAGGTGTGGGTCTCTCCTGATGCCCCAAGGAAAGCTCAGGATCTGCAGYGCAGACCTGAGAGGAGCAAGAGGGTTTGGTGAGTGGGGCAGCCACACCCCATCAGCCGGGGGACAAAATCCTAGGGGCTCCCCTTGCCTCAGCTCAGCACATCGCTCTGGTGGCAGCAATGCACAGGGACATTCCTGCCCTCACTGCTTGCCCAGGGGCTGGAAGAGGTGGCACCCCAGTCCAGAGCTCTGCCTTGGACTGCAGGGTGTGTGGGTTCAGGGCAGTGGTGACCCAGGGCACAGTTCTGCTCTCACAGCACTCCCCACTCCCAGATCTGCAGCCTGATGCGTGGGGGCATCGCGGAACGGGGCGGCATCCGTGTGGGGCACCGCATCATYGAGATCAACGGGCAGAGCGTGGTGGCCACACCCCACGAGAAGATCATCCAGATGCTCACCGAGGCGGTCAGTGAGGTGAGCTGCTGGGCTTGGAGCTGGGCAACAGCACTCTCCAGTCTGGCTGGGGCCTCTGATCCGTGCCTCTCTGCCTAGGTCCACATCAAGACCATGCCGGCTTCCACGTACCGCCTGCTGACGGGGCAGGAGCAGCCCCTGTTCCTCTGAGCCCCTGTGCCTGGGACAGGCAGGAGCGAGCCTGGGGCAGCAAGGGCAGGAAGAGCTCTGCCTTCTGCCCCAGCCCTGCATCAGAGCCCTCGGCAGGGACTGAGCCTGCAACTCTTTGGTTTTACTCAGGACACAGTGGGAGACTCTGSGGGCTGATACCCAACCTGAGCAGCATCAAGGCCTGTGGTGCCACRGTCTGGGCACCTCCCACTCTCCAATCACCTCTCCCCACCACACAGTGCCTGCACAGTGCCTGTCCTGTTGCTGCACAAARTCCCTCGCCTTGGCCTGGTGCTGGCCAGAGAGGGAACCCCATAGGGAAGTTCCCCCCATCCAGTCACTGCAGGTTGTGCTTTTACACTCACCAACGGTGCCTTTCCTGAGCTGGGGACAGTGCTGAAAGCACAGCTTGGCTCCAGAGCTCGGCCCAGCACAGCCTCAGAGCAGCACTGCCCCTGCACACCCATGTGTGGGTGCAAGCTGGCACCCCTAAAGGACACTCAGAAGCTTCTAGACTCAGCCTTAAGGGCAGAAGCACTCTTGCAAGCTCCTCTTCTCCCCTGGTTTGGCCAGGGGCCTCTTGGGGTGCAAACAAACTCTCCATTAGACCCATTCCACCAAGCTGGGAACCAMGCTGGGAACCTTTTCCCTGGTGCTGCCCTGAGCCGCTCTGCATGCACAGCCCGGCCCAGAGCCACGGCCCTTGGAGCAGCAGAAGGGAACATGGCACTGCCCAGCCCCACATCCCAGGGTGTGGGAGGCTGTGAGCCCAGGGATTCTCCCAGGATGTGCCTTTTTMTGAGCAGCTCTCTGGGCCTGCAGGGCCACAGCAGAGCTGACCTGGTGGTGCCTGTGTGCTTGGTTGATGTAAAAATAAAAATTTTGGGAAATACAGGAGGCTGCATTTGAGGAGCCACGGCAAGGCTGCAGCAGACGAGGCTCAACTCTGGGGGGCACAACCCGAGGCTGCAGCAGTGCCAGGCCCACTGACCAGGGCAGTGCCTGGCTCCCAGCAAGGCCACCCTGCTGCACAGTGTCCCCTGCGTGCTGCCACCCAGCATGCCCAGAAACAGCCAGTCCTGATCCAAACATCCCTTTTATTCCAGAAGCAGTGGCTGTGGCCAAAAGGGAAGAAGGCACATGGTGGTGCAAGCACTTGGTGAGGCAGACTACAGCAGGATTGGGCCCAGCCCRGCCACCATGGTACTACCTGAGCTGTCACCTGCAGCAGGGCTGTGGGAGGGCTGGCCCAGAGGGACTGTCCTCCAGTGCCACTACACATCTGTGGCTGGGCCCCAYTCGTAGCCTTCATCCTCATCTGAGTCATCCCTGGCCCGGGTGAACCTCCTCCTCACCGCCTCGTGCTCATATTCCCTGGGGGACAGAAGGGTGGTGATGGTTCTGGGTGACAGGGACAGTGCCCTGCCAGGGCTGTCCCCAGCCCTGTGCTGTCTGTCACCCCATCCCTGCAGTCCCAGGGCACAGGGTACCTGATGCTGTCATAGCGCCGGCCCTGCCGCGGCTGCTTGGGCACCTGGGGGAGAGCAGGGGACAGTCAGGGGCAGGGCAGGGGCTGTGCCCCAGCCTGGGGCATTTGTCCCTGGACACCCAGAAGTGGGCACAGGCACACAGCTGGACCCTGCAGCAGCCAGAGGTGACACACTGCCTGCACCACGAGGATGGGAGTTACCCCCGAGAGCCAGGCACTGTGCCACCCTCTTGTGCCCCACCAGGCCCCTGCAGCATTCTGGGGGAACCCACCTGCTCGCTTAGGTTGTGGCTTGGGGCCAGCTGTGCTGGCTCAGAAGAGTCCAGGCCATGGCTCAGGGCCAGCTGTGCTGGCTCAGAGGAGCGGGCCAGTCCGGGCTGGTCGTAGGCATCCTCTGCCTCGCCATCGGTGTAGGCGCTCGCCTCACCATCTGTGTCATCATAGTCGCTGTTGGCGCGGCTGTCACAYGTCAGGTAGCCTGAGGCCATGCTCGGTGGGTTCAGCAGGTCCAGACTGTCCTCAGGTGCTACATCTGCCTGCAGAGTGGGAATGACAGAGACATGGGACTCCTGCCATGGCAGGGGACACTTGTGGCCCCATCACCTGCCTGGCTGCAGCCCCAGGAGGCCAATCCTCCCCACAGAGAGCCCATGCCCCATACCTGCTCTGCTGTTGTCCAGACAGGCTGGCTTTGCTGTGTCCTTATGATATCCTGGATCTGCTCGTACCAGGCRTTGCTGCCACTGCTGAGGCTGATGGTGGCCGTGAAGAGGTGGCTGCAATACTTCTTCATCTTGTTGGCCTGGGCAAAGAGGCGCCKGGAGCTCTTCCTGGAGTCGGGTGCCAGCCACTGCCGCATGGCCTTGATGCCCTGCCGGCTCTCGGGCTCGCAGAACACCACCACTGGGTAGTATTGCACGTAGTTGAGGCGCTCCACAGCTGAGGGCGTGATGTCCAGCAAGGCGTGCTTGTTCTGGGGCAGGGCACAGCCATCAGCCCTGCAGGGAGCAGGCGTGGGGGCCATGGGCTTTCCACAGACCCCAGCTGGCTCCAAGGAMACGGGAAAGGTCTCACCTTTTCTGCAATCAGCCGCACCGAGTCCAGCTTGATGACCTTGGATGATGCTCCATCTCGGGGCACGCTSGCTGCAGGACAAAGATGGGACATGAGAGCAATTGCACTTCTGACAGCCCCAGGCTGGGCATGGCTATACCYGGCCCCAGGGCTGTGTCCCTCAGGGAGAGGAGGGGAGAGGGTAAATGAACAAAGTGTTGGGGTGTCACAGGGAGGGAGCCTGTGACAGGTAAAGAACTCYCACAGYTCCTGGATTCTGTGGGTCTGGMTGCTGGATATAATTTTCTCCCCAGTRTGGGGACACTTACGGGCGATTTCAAACAGCTCAGGGTGTTCCCTGCTCAGCTTCTGCACAGCRATGTCTGCGATGGGGCCCAGGATCACCACTGGCCGCTTGAAGCTGGCTGTGAGAGGACAGAGGGGCAGGTGGGGAGAGGGCAGAGCTGCCAGCACCTGGGCACCCAGCCCTGCCCCTCACAGTGCCCACAGCCTGTGACTTCCCCTGCTCCTCCCAGGAGAGGAGGGCCCCACCAGCACCGGCAGCAGGCAGTGCCAGGGCCAACGTCCCCGAGGTGGGTCAGGGTGTCCTGGTGCCCACCTTCCTTCAGGACCACCCTCTCATATGGTGGGTAGCGACCCTGCTTTGTGAGGGCAGACAAGTCCTCCCGGCTCTTCCGCAGTATCTTCTTGGCGCCCCGCAAGCCCCGCAGCTTCCAAAACTCAGCCCGTGCCCCAGAGGGGTTGGCACCAGACGTGGCTTTCAGCACTGACTCCAGGCTGGCGATCTGCTCGGCCCTGGRCAAGGAGAGGGCTCAGGACYTGCAGTCTCTGSGTTTACCCCCACCTTGTCTCTGGCYGAGGAGCAGGTCAGAATTTGGCACCCCTGCTCAGTGGCACAGCCAGGTGAGGCTGTGGTAGACCTCTCTCTGAGAAGTTTGGACAACTTGACCATCAGCTGCCCCATCACCCGGGAAGGGATTTCACCAGCTCATGCTTCCCACCAYTGCTCCACCAGTGGTTGCCCTGCCTCTCACTGAGCCCACCATCCAYGTCCCCAGCTCATGTGGGAGCCTTCCCCAGCTCTGCTCATCTCAGGGCTGTTCCCAGCTCCATCCCTACCTGCTCCGGTTGGGGATGATRCCCTTGTCCTGCTCCTGCAGGTCCCTGCCCATGCGCACAGCCAGCCAGCTCCCCAGCCTGCCCCGGTACATGGTGTCCAGCACATGGAACACGTCCCCACGGACAAAGCTGAGCCCTGATGGYGTGTCCTTCTCAAAGTCAAAGTGCGTCCGGATGTAGAATGAGTCACCCACGTTGGACGAGATCATCTTCCTATAAACTGGAGCCCAGGGCAAGAGGTACCATTCAGGGAAATATGAGGAGGCTGAGGAGGAAGATGCTGAAGAGATTTGGGAAGGCACTAGGCTGGCTGGGAGGCTCCATAGTAAACCTTGCTGCTAAGGAGGGTATTAGGGACATCTTTTCCCCCCAGGCATGCCGGGGATAGCAGGATCTGACCCGCCCCAGCACACACTGGCCTCTCCACCTGAGCAATGGTGCCAGAAAGCCTCTGTGCTCCAGAAAGCCAAGGCACAAATAGGGCCACGATGGTCTGGTCCCCTCCCATCAGCTGTGGAGGAGGTAGAAGGAGCACCCTGCGGGGGCAGGAAGGACCATGGCAAGTCCAGCAGGTCTGATGCCCAGAAGAGACAGAGGATGGGAGAGGCACAAGCCCAAGATGAGTCTTGTCATCACTCACTGTCTTGCTTGCTCTGGGTCCACAGCGTGACCTCCTCGCCTGGGGGCAGGGCCATGAGATATTCCACAGCCTCCTCACGGGTCAGGTTCTGGAAACTGGTGTCATTCACCTGCCACAGAGAARCACTTGGACATGGTCCTGCCAGCAGGACAGAGGGCATGGGGACCAGCAGGGGACCCAGGGACAGCAGTGCCCGGGGCAGTGGGAGAGGGAGTTGGTCACTCTGGAGGTGATACTCTAGGAAGGTATTGGACCCAAAAGGGCTGGAGCCGGTCCAGGTGCAGCAGCATGTGGAGCATTTTCAGTGCCACGTACCTGTAGGATCTGGTCACCTTCCCGGACGCCCTGGCTGTCAGCCAGGCTCCCCTCCTGCACRCTCGACACGAAGATGCCCACATCATTGCCACCTGTCAGCCGCAGCCCCACGCTCTGGGCCTTCACAAACCGCACCAGCCTGGAGTTGGTGCTGTACCTGCCACAAGGAAGTACTGTCAGCCCAGTGGTGACGTGCAAGGACAGCACAGAGTAAGTGACCCTGTGACCCCAGCTCTGTGCCAGAGCAGCTCCCCATGTCCTCCAGCCATTCCCCATGCCTCTCACACACATACCCCTCCTTGTGGGCAGCTCGGGCTGTGGGGCTGGTGTGGAGGCTGTGGCCATCCCCCTCCACAGCTTCCAGAAGGTCTGCAGGAAGGAGAGCTAGTCCAGGAGCGGCAGTGGCTGTGCCAAAGCACAGGGAGCCCTGGCACAGCTCTGCCAGAGCTTTGGGCAGTGGAGATGCACAGGAGCCTGGAGCACCCTCAGTGTCCAGTSCACTCACCCGGGCCTCGAGCATCGGCTACAGTCACCTCGGCCACAGGCCTGTCAGATCGTCTCCTCTCCCTGGAACAAGGTCRGGCAGGATTTAGGCAGGGCACAGGCAGGCAGTGTCAAGGGGGCAGTGGAGACTGCAGAGCAAGCTGGGGATGGCAGTACCACCTCCAGGGAAACTGGCAATGGAGAACTGGCATGCCCAAACAAGTGGAGAGCACAGCAGGATCTGCCAGGGGACAGAGGACCTCATGGGGACAGTGTGGGCCTTACGGTGGTGAATTTGTCSTGGCAGCAGCTGGAGGTTGTGGAGAGGCCTCTGGAGATGGCGGGTGGGACAGCTCAGAGTCGATGTCAGAGATATCTGCAGCAACAGGAGGGCAGATGCATCAGTGAGCTGGCAGCCCCGTGCTGTGTACTCAGCCCTGGCCCCACACCGTGTCCCCTCACCATCCATCCGGGAGCTGTCGCTCTGGCTGTCCACATCAGCGATTCTGACCAGGAACTGCCGGTGGTCCCGCAGGATGAGCAAGGTCAGGATCCCCTCTGTCCGCTCAATGAGCTGCTGGGTTTCAGCCAAGGACATGTCCTGGCTGGCCACCCCATTGATCTGGAGGGGCAGAGTGGGAGGCCTCAGGGCATGTGCTCCTGAGAAAGCCACCCCCAGGAATGCCCCATGGGGATGGGATCCTCTGACTGCCATCTTCCTGGTCCMTTYCCAGCCYCTCCAGCCCAGCCTCAGCCATCTGAAGCTTCACCT